GAATTAATTTTATTGGTTATTGTAAATCGCTTTGATATTTAATGATCTCATGTTATAATTACACATTGACAGCAGCAAGCAGATGTAACAGTGTTATTACATGTATGTGTCAATATATAGTTTATTCAATGAGTGTGGTGTGTTTGGTTACACCACTGGAAACAGAATTAAGAAGAAAATTAACATTCTATGCAGTCCATCATACAACCATAAACCTCTGTGGTACACTATAATATTATTGTGTCTATTTCTTTACATCTTAGAAAACCTAGGATATAATAAACTATGACAGACACATCTTTTTTTTTTTCTCCTAAATTTTACATAGCTTTCCAATGCCAACTGTACCCTCTTTAATAAAATGTGTTTTAATATGTTTTATATGCTATTAAATTCAGTATTTATTAGAATTGTTAATCACTATTTTAATTTAAATATAAATGCATATAAAATGTAATACCCCTGATACTTGTGTTACCAATTAAATAGTATCATTCTGACTGCTTGTAAAACCTAATTACAATCATTTTCTTAAGATATTTAAATGGACACGTTCTAGACTTCTCACTAGAATAAAACATGTCAGGTGACTGTATGGTACTTAATATCGGTCAAAGCATCACCTTGTCATTAAAATAATTGACATAAATTCTGTACATATATGTGTAAATATCACACGTATTAGGGGTAACCTAGATATGAATAATATGTAGGAGACTGACATATATTGGTATGTTCTAATAAATATGTATCCAAATTCAAAATTATATCATTCACTGCACGTGTCTATTTTTATACGGCATACATTATATCTTGTATATTATATTACATACATGTATTATATTAGGGCAGGCAGGCATGCAGATGGATGGATAGATATTCCCTCTGGCATAGAATGGGGATCACTAATTTCCCTGCAGGTAACTATGGGTTAATCAGGAAATGGCTGTCACTGTGTAACAACAAGAGTCTCACTTTACTAACATTTTTTGGAGATTGTGGCAATTTAAAGCCTCAATGGTCACATTTTCCAGGTTGTTAAACCCCAGCACCTGTCTAACCCAGGAACAGTACAACAAAAATCCTTCCTCTGGTACTGCAGATGTGTTAAACTGCATTCTCCATAATTCTGGGCCAGTACCCCCGCCCCCACTACAGAGCTGTAAGTGTAATTAATTTGTACATTACCATGTTAACATTCCAACAAGCTGTGATCTCCCTCTGTAAATTAGCCAGTACCCAGTGAGTAGACACTCAGTTCAATAGTGAGTGGACACTCAGATGGACATACTGGAGTGAGAGGGGCATTGGGAGATTGACATTATAGAAAGTCAGTCTGTTTAACCCTTGGGTGTCAGACAAACTGTGATGTTTTTATATCAGAGCCAAGAGGGGGAGATACAGGTTAGTCTATCACATAGCATCTAGGAATCTCAAAATACAGACAGGAATCAGGGTTCATAGTATGATTGTTTAATTTAAACTTCAATCCCCAAAACTCAAATCTGGTATCTAAGTAATGGTAAGGGAGAGAGCTGCTACAGACAGACAGACAGACAGACATACTTTATAATAATGCATTTAGTGTGGGAAAAAAAAGCTCACAACTAAATGATACTAAATAAAATTCGATTATTTGATTTAGAAGAACCTTTTTATAATGAATCTTCCCTGGATGTCCTCTGATTCTAGTCTGAATTTATTTACATTTCCCTGATTAGACTCATACAGCCCAGGAATTCAGCGCTACGGAATATGTTGGCGTTTTTTAAATATATTTTGTATAGACATGCTTTTTCCTTGGATAACTCTGTTTAGCCAAATGAAAGTTACATGTATCTATTTAATAAATATCAATAGCAATGAATTATTCCTACAGATAATATAAAATACATTTTATTTAATTAACATCTTTGAAGGTTTAAGACATTACATCCTTATGTCATCCAAAGGGCCCTAAATGTTCGTATTATTAGAAAACAATGGATCCTGCATACATTGTACAATATCCTGTGAGAATGCAAGTCAGGTTTGTGCATCTTAATGTATCAATGTGCAAAAACGTATAGAATCCCTTTATAATACACAGTGTTATAATATACTGGATTCATGTATTTAGATAAATCACAATATAGACCATCTTTATCTAGAAATGTCTTTTAATAATTCCTTTTAATGGATCCTATTCTCTGGGACCCTTTATACAGCATTCATTTTATATGTCTCATAATACACAAATCACCTTAAAGGAAAATGGCTATAACCAGGACAGAACTCGAATCAGTTTATGTATTAAACTTCCAATCCCAGCACACAGTTATTAATTCTTAATATTTACCTGAAAAATGACAGTATTTCTAGACAGTATATGTTAGAAGGGTTTAGTTTCTCTAAGATACAGATAATGTATTTATAGAATATCCATATTACAGAATTGATTAATGAATGTTGGCTTTTCAATAAATTATTGATTTTAAACCAAAATAGATATTTGTTGCATTTTTAAATTTTATCTCTCTCTGTCTCTCTTCCCCCTCTAATATTCAAAATCTCTCTCTTACTCCCACCTCCTCTGTCCTCTCTCTCTCTCTCCCCTATTAATACCCATTCTCTCTTTTACTCTCACTCTCCAACTGTCTGATTCTCTCTCCCCCCTCAGTATATCTCTCCCTCCCCACCTTCCCTGCACTCTCCAATTGTCTGATTCTCTCTCTTTCTCTCCCCTTTAATACTCAGTATGTCTCTCACTCCCCACCTCCCCTGCACTCTCCTCTCTCTCCTTTCTCTCTCCTCTTAGTGAATCAGCTGCCTGCAAGGCTATAAAGAAGAAGTTGTACGTACTGTGCACTGAGAGCAGCCAGCCTGTCCTGTGGCAGAATAATCTGCCTGAGAGAAGTCTCTCCTATTCACTCTTTCGTCTCCCAAAGCATTCCCTGCAGTGCTGTCTGTGAGCATGGGGTCAGGGCTGTTTAACTGTTATAATGCCGGATCAGACACTGTACATGTCAGTCAGTAATACCGAGTGTGTGGCTGCTGTGTGACAACAATGTGGAGAATAGCCATTCAAGGATTGTTTGTGTGTGTCTGATAATATATGTATTGCAGTGTCAGTGATTGTGTGTTTGTCTGTGTCTGAATATATATGTGTTGCAGTGTCAGTGATTGTGTAATGTGTGTCTGATAATATATGTGTTGCAGTGTCAGTAATTGTCTGTTGGTGTGTGTCTGATAATATATGTGTTGCAGTGTCAGTAATTGTCTGTTGGTGTGTGTCTGTTGATATATGTGTTGCAGTGTCAGTGATTGTGTGTTGGTGTGTGTCTGATAATATATGTGTTGCAGTGTCAGTGATTGTGTGTTGGTGTATGTGATAATATATGTGTTCCAGTGTCAGTGATTGTGTGTTGGTGTGTGTCTGTTAATATGTGTGTCAGTGATTGTGTGTTGGTGTGTGTCTGTTAATATATGTGTTGCAGTGTCAGTGATTGTGTAATGTGTGTCTGATAATATATGTATTGCAGTGTCAGTGATTGTGTATTGGTGTGTGTCTGTTAATATATCTGTTGCAGTGTCAGTGATTGTGTAATGTGTGTCTGGTAATATATGTATTGCAGTGTCAGTGATTGTGTGTTTGTCTGTGTCTGATTATATATGTGTTGCAGTGTCAGTGATTGTGTAATGTGTCTGATAATATATGTGTTGCAGTGTCAGTGATTGTGTGTTGGTGTGTGTCTGATAATATATGTGTTGCAGTGTCAGTGATTGTGTGTTGGTGTATGTGATAATATATGTGTTGCAGTGTCAGTGATTGTGTGTTGGTGTGTGTCTGTTATTATATGTGTTGCAGTGTCAGTGATTGTGTGTTGGTGTGTGTCTGATAATATGTGTTGCAGTGTCAGTGATTGTGTGTTGGTGTGTATCTGTTAATATATGTGTTGTAGTGTCAGTGATTGTGTGTTGGTGTGTGTCTGTTAATATATGTGTTGCAGTGTCAGTGATTGTGTAATGTGTGTCTAATAATATATGTGTTGCAGTGTCAGTGATTGTGTGTTTGTCTGTGTCTGATTATATATGTGTTGCAGTGTCAGTGATTGTGTGTTTGTCTGTGTCTGATTATATATGTGTTGCAGTGTCAGTGATTGTGTGTTGGTGTGTGTTTGATAACATATGTGTTGTAGTGTCTGTGATTGTGTGTTGGTGTGTGTCTGATAATATATGTATTGCAGTGTCAGTGATTGTGCGTTGGTGTGTGTGTGTGATAATATATGTGTTGCAGTGTCAGTGATTGTGCGTTGGTGTGTGTGTGTGTGATAATATGTGTTGCAGTGTCAGTGATTGTGTAATGTGTGTCTGTTAATATATGTGTTGCAGTGTCAGTGATTGTGTTGGTGTGTGTCTGTTAATATATGTGTTGTAGTGTCAGTGATTGTGTGTTGGTGTGTGTCTGTTAATATATGTGTTGCAGTGTCTGTGTGTGTCTGTGTGTGTTGGTGTGTGTCTGTTAATATATGTGTTGCAGTGTCTGTGTGTGTGTGTCTGTGTGTGTTGGTGTGTGTGTCTGTTAATATATATGTTGCAGTGTCAGTGATTGTGTGCTGGTGCTTAGTGACAGTGTATGGTGGTGGTGTGTTTATGAATATGTATGGGAGTGTTTATGATAATCGTGTGCATTATAGTGTCTATGAGTTTGTATATGGGTTTCATAGTGATAGATAGATAATTATTAAGACGGTAGATACAGCTATTTAGATAGATTGATACTGTATAAATAGATACAAAGTTGCAGGATGTGATATTAGAAGATTCTATTTCTCCCTCTGACCTGCTGGCTGCTCCCAGGCTCCGCCCATTCATTGACAATGACAGCACAGAGACCAGTGAATCCCGCCCACCAGCCGAGCTCCGGCGAATCAGATGGTCCGGCTCAGGTGACCAATAAGCTGGCTAGACCGGCCTTCAAGTGGGAAGAGTGGGACTGCAGGAGATCATCCCTGGACTCAGTCACACCTGGACCTGGACCTGCTGCTTCACTGACCCAGGACCTGCTGCTTCACTCCCTCACTGACCCAGGACCTGCTGCTACACTGACCCAGGACCTGCTGCTTCACTCCCTCACTGACCCAGGACCTGCTTCCCACATTGACCCAGGACCTGCTCCCTCACTGACCCAGGACCTGCTTCCCACATTGACCCAGGACCTGCTGCTTCACTCCTTCACTGACCCAGGACCTGCTCCCTCACTGACCCAGGACCTGCTTCCCACATTAACCCACGACCTACTCCCTCACTGACCCAGGACCTGCTCCCTCACTGACCCAGGATCTGCTTCCCACATTGACCCTGGACTTGCTCCCCTCACTGACCCAAGACCTGTTGCCTTCACTAACCCAGGACCTGTTGCCTTCACTAACCCAGGACTTGCTACTTCACTCAGTCACTGACTCAGGACCTGCTACCTTTACTCTCTTACTTACCCAGGACCTGCTCCCTTCACTGACCCAGGAAACACTGCCTTAACCCCCTCACTGACCCCGGACTTACTACCTTCACCGACACAAGACTTGCTGGCCTCTCTCCATCACTGACCTAGTACCTGCTGGCATCTCTCCATCACTGACCCAGGACTTGCTGGGCTCTCTCCATCACTGACCCAGGACCTGCTGGGCTCTCTCCAGACTGACACAAGAGCTTCTACTTTGCTTCACACCTGGAACTCCTTCCTTCCTGCTCAGAGACTCAGGAGCTGCTGATTTACCGGTGCTGCTGGCCTCTTGAACTTGGATTGCTGAGGATCATGTCCTGTCTGTGATTCAGAGAAACCTGGAGCTTCTGTCTGGACTGCATTAGATAGCAATCTGTGGATTGTACGCCCCAGTTTGGGGTTCCTGGATTCTGCATTCTTCCCAAACTCTGCAGGATCCTCTGATCTGATGGAAAAGTCCAAGAATTTCCGGATTGATGCTCTTTTGGCCATCGACCCACCCAAAGCTCAGACATCTCCTCTGGCACTGGTCACCTCATTGTCCTCCTCCTCTCTGTCAACTTCTGGAAGCCCTCCCTCTGAACACACAGACAGCCTGAGGACAGACACCCCATCACCTCCAAGGACTTGTGGACTAGTACCCAAACCAGGCTTTCTGAGCAATCACCAGCACCCTAGCAACATGATGGGCTTACACCCCCAGGGGGGCACCGGGATCCACCCTCAGGCCCTTTATGGACACCCTGTCTACAGCTATTCAGCAGCTGCTGCTCTGGCAGCAGGTACGCACCCAGCCTTGTCCTACCCTTACAGCCAAATCCAGGGAGCCCATCACAGCCACCACATGGACCCCATCAAGATCAGTGCTGGGACTTTCCAACTGGACCAGTGGCTGAGAGCCTCTACAGCTGGCATGATGCTCCCCAAAATGGCAGACTTTAACTGTAAGTTCTCCTTGACATGCCCACAGTTCATATTAATGAGAGCCCATATAGACAGCAAACCAGCTATTTACTATATTAAACTGTATAGATTCAATAAACCCAGTGATTATATAATGAGAGACAGCAAATCAGCTACTTACTATATTACACTGCTAGATTCAATAAATCCAGTGATTATATAATGAGAGACAGCAAAGCAGCTATTTACTATATTACACTGCTAGATTCAATAAATCCAGTGATTATATAATGAGAGACAGCAAAGCAGCTATTTACTATATTACACTGCATTTAGGTACAATAAATCCAGTGATTATATAATGGGAGACAGCAAACCAGCTATTTACTATATTACACTGCTAGATTCAATAAATCCAGTGATTATAGAATGAAAGACAGCAAACCAGCTATTTACTATATTACACTGTATAGATTCAATAAATCCAGTGATTATATAATGAGAGACAGCAAACCAGCTATTTACTATATCACACTGTATATATACAATAAACCCAGTGATTATATAATGAGACAGCAAACCAGCTATTTATTATATTACACTGTATAGATACAATAAATCAAGTGATCACAAAAGAGTCAATATAGACAGCATACCATTTATTTACCATATTACACTGTATAGATTATAAATTCAGTGATCAAATATTTACTATATTACACTGTATAGATTATAAATCCAGTGATCAAATAGTTATTGTATTACACTGGGTATATAGATACATTGAATCCAATGATCATATAATAAGAGTCCACATAGACACATTTATACAATAAATCCAGTGATCTCAGAATGAGAGCCCATGTAGGGAGCAAACCAAATATTTTTTTTTATTACATTGGATGTATCTATGAATCCTATAATACGAGTTCCTATTGATGTTAAACCATCGATTTACCACATTCCACTTTTATATAACCATATTTGAAAACCTTTTAGATATCTAACATTCTATTTACTATATTACACGACATATATACTGTGAATATACATAGATATCATATATTATATTTACTATATTACACGGCATATATACTGTGAATATACATAGATATCATATATTATATTTACTATATTACACGACATATATACTGTGAATATACATAGATATCATATATTATATTTACTATATTACACGACATATATACTGTGAATATACATAGATATCATATATTATATTTACTATATTACACGACATATATACTGTGAATATACATAGATATCATATATTATATTTACTATATTACACGACATATATACTGTGAATATACATAGATATCATATATTATATTTACTATATTACACGACATATATACTGTGAATATACATAGATATCATATATTATATTTACTATATTACAAGATATAGGTTCATGGATCTAATACTGTGAATATAAATAGATATGATATATTAGATTTACTATATTACACGACATATATCCATGGATATAATAGTGTGAATATACATAGATATCATATATTAAATTGACTGTTACGTGATATAAATTCCTGGATCTAATACTGTGAATATAAATAGATATGATATATTTACTAAATTACACGATATATATCCATGGATCTAATACTGTGAATATAAATTGATTCATATATTATATTTACTATATTACACGATATAGATTCATGAATCTGATGTAAATCTATTTACAAATGAAACATTCTATTTATAAAGTATGTATCAATGAATATTTACAGACCACTATATATTGCACAGGATATTTAAAAATGCCCAGAGCTCCAAGAATGACTCCATACTGATAGCAGACCAATAATCTACAATAATACACAGCGTGTTCTTATAAATTTAACATTAAGTATCCATATAAATATCAATATCACCATTTTATATATGTCTGTCTATCTGTCTATCTATCTATCTATCTATCTATCTATCTGTCTGTCTGTCTGTCTGTCTGTCTGTCTGTCTATCTATCTATTTATCTGTCTGTCTGTCTATTCACACACATTGCCATCTGCAATGTATATTTATATATGTATATTTACGATATTACACCTGCCATATAAAAGAATCTAAAATAATATTTATAGATTAAAATAATGCAATTATAATATTACAACGATTATAACGAATTAGTGTAACTTCGGCTGCAGGGGGAAACATTAAAAACAGACAGAATACGATGGATCGCAATAACTGACAGAATTCCTTGTTCTTTTACCAATACATAATATAAATTATTCAAAGTTCAAAATAACAAAATGTTTACAGACTCAAAGTATGATGTCAAATTAAAATATAAATATTATTATTAAAATACATTGACGGGAGTTTTCTGAAATTCATTAATATAAAAATGCACCCAGGATCTGTTAGCAAAATAAAATATGTGCAAGATATAAGATAAAAAGATATCACATACAGAGTGTGACATTAAATTAGATAGATTAATACATATATACATAACAACGTTAAACAATACCTACAGATATACACTGTGTATATATATATAGTCACGCTTACTGCAAGACTAGTTTTTCTGTACAATATTTTGTATGTAAATGATATAAATATTATTCTATTTTTTTTTATTCAATCCACTTTTTTTTCTAAAACATTACATTTTCTGTGTAAACATATGTCTTCGTAGAAAACCCAGGGCTCAGCAATGCAGACTGGGTATACCAAGTCTATATATATATATACACACACACACACACACACACACACAGACTTTCATTTCTCCAATCCTTTTTTGCATATTATAGCTAATTGTATTATTAGTGTACAAAAGGTATATTTTAAAATACATTTTGATTGCAACATTTTATATATTAAACCAAATTAACAAATGATTTATCGTTGCCACTAGTGTATTTAGAATATTGTATATACATCTAAGTTATATAAAGTCTCCTTCTATGTATATACCGTGTGTACACAATGCAGCAATCTCTCTCTCTCTGCTGAACAGGACCCCATTGTGCTGGACCACTTAGAAGGGGATTCTGACTGCACACAAAACATTTAGTGCTGTTGTCACTGGGTGATGTTTGTGTTGGGAGATGTCAGGAAGGTGAGAGATTTTGTCTCTCTGTACACTCTATAGACAGCCTGCCTGGCTTATCCAAACAGTGCATGGCCAGTATCCCAGGGATCTCACGTTCTGCCCAATCCACAGATCATTCCCAATGTGGCATGTATCCTGTATCTATACAGTGAGTGCAGACAGCCAGCCAGCCCAATAGCCATGTGGCAGAACAAAGCACAGATTCTCACTTCATGTCACCAATGCACTCTGCTTAATCACTGCATAACACAATCTCTACTCTAACACTTCCACAGAGTAAGGTCTCTGCAGTGGAGCTGTGGGGTGTTTCTTCTTAATAAGAGGTGTAATATATAATCCTGTTATGGGTGTGAGGTTTAAATGAAACCTCTGTCAATGGAAATAAAGTTCTCTTATAAATTCTGTGACACTTCTCACTTCAGATGTTTGTAAAGGCTGGCTGAGGGTGATGTGAAAGGCAGTTGGCATGCAGTTCTGGGATGCCAAGGTTAGACGGGACACTTTGCCCTTCCATTAAGTGTAATGATGTACATGTACAGAGTTTCTGGAAACCCAAATGATCGATTCTAGGTGTAGAACTGCATAGCTGTTTGTATCAATCCAGTCCTTGTGAGCTGCACAGTCACTGGGTAACAGACAGGGTTAGAAACACAGACTGTGAAAGACAGTTTATAATGCCCACACAGGGTACTTTAGTTAAAATATTCTAACTAATTATTTCTGCATTATCCATTGTGGAATTGGGTTTCCTCCTTTAACTAAATCAGGGGGTTAGCAACTAATAAGTTATCTGTGATCAATTTATCTATCTATCTATCTATCTATCTATCTATCTATCTATCTATACACTATCTATCTATCTATCTATCTATCTATCTATACCGTATCTATCTATCTATCTATCCATCTATCTATCTATACCGTATCTATCTATCTATCTATCTATCTATCTATCTATCGATACACTGTCTGTCTGTCTATCTATCTATCTATACACTATCTATCTATCTATCTATCGATACACTATCTGTCTGTCTGTCTGTCTGTCTATCTGTCTGTCTGTCTGTCCTATCTACGCATATACTCTGTTACACTATATCTAATTCTTCTATTAAACAATAAAGACTTATATATATACAAAGAAAAGACATATTGGTTCCCAGTTCTCTCGGTTTAGTCCTTCAGTCCCTTGTCCCGTGTTTTGTTAGCGCTATTTGTGTTTATTTATAACAGTGTCAGTACAATATGAGAGGCACTTGTTTAATGGTTGGATTAGATTTCAAGGATGTCCCTTAAATAAACAGTTATTTATCTGATTGTGGGATTAGAGGCGATAATTACATTGAGAACAAGCTCTAGCTGCTATCTCTCTCTCCCTTTGATTACAAAGCATGGCTTCAGTTTCAAAGGGTTTTATTGCCCCCCTCCCACCCCTCTCTCCTCCATTTCCTGGACATTTCACACCCTTTCACTGCCAGAGGGGGAAGCAATGCACAGAGCCCAGCTGATCGCCATGAAGGGGTTAAGCTCGCCATGGGTTAATAATCCGGATGGCGAATTCCAGCAAACCTGGGGAAGTGCTGTATAAATGCCATATATTTCACTGGGATTGCAACTTCTTAAATGAAATGTAAAGTAGGAGTGAGTGTTATTCTCCATTAAACTGACACAGTGTGCATTATATTATTATATTATTATATTATATTGTACATTATAGCTGCAGTGAGGAGCCAACCCTTAATGTATTCACAGGAAACACAGGATTAAACTCCCACTGATATCCTGTTACAATGTATTTCTTTCTTTCCTTCTTTCTTTCTCGTTATCTCTTCATCCATCTTTCCATTTTTCCCTCCCTCTCTCATCTTCTATTTTCATTTCTCCCTCTCTCTCTCTTCTTTTATTTTTCTTGCTCTTTGTCTCTTTCTCTCTCTCTTTCTCTCTCTCTCTTTCTCTCTCTCTCTCTCTCTCTCTCTCTCTCTCATTCTCTCTCTCCCTTTCTATTTTTCTTGCTCTGTCTCTCTTTCTCTCTCTCCCTTTCTCTCTCTCTCATTCTCTCTCTTTCTCTCTCTCTCTCTTTCTCTCTCTCTCTCTTTCTCACCCCCTCTCTCTTCCTTTCTCTATCACATTCTCTCTTTCTTTCTGTTTCTCTCTCTCTCGCTCTCCCTTTCTCTCTCGCTCTCTGTCTCTCTCTCTCTTTTCTCCCTTTCTCTCTCACTCTCCTTTTCAATCTCTCCTTTTCTCTCTCTCTCCCTTTCTCTCTCTCATTCTCTCTCTCTCTCTTTCCTTGTGTCACTGTGTTTGTATGTAAGCAGTCTCTGTTGTATTTGCAGCCCAGGCCCAATCGAACCTGCTGGGAAAGTGCCGGAGACCCAGAACCGCATTCACCAGCCAGCAGTTACTGGAACTCGAACATCAGTTTAAACTCAATAAATATCTGTCCAGGCCGAAACGTTTCGAAGTGGCCACATCGTTAATGCTCACGGAGACCCAGGTACAAACAGAATGAATACTCACCTCATAATCTACACTGATTGTTTGATATTAATACCCCCTTTATTATTGTTTTATTTTATAATCATTATCTGGTAACATTCTTACATCATGTGACTTACTGCTCTACATAAACACATCAATAATTACAACAAAAAAAGGGTTTAAAAGTTGTGAAATCTGTATGAATAATTATTAATGCAATGCGCTATCTTTATTAAAATGACTCTAATTAATTACTTTAACAAAGCTTAATACAAGATATCATGTATAATGGACAGATAGACATGGTTAATAAATCTTTATTATGTCAGTTATATTGAAATGTAAGAATACAATACTAACAATTAGAATTGTTATATATATTTTTTTTTTATTAAAAGTTCAATTTTTTTATGTTTCCCATCTCTGTCCCATTCTGGCAGTGAGAGGGTTAACACACTGGGTTAATACACAATTTCTAGTAGCAATTAACCCTTAAAATTCCAAAAAGTAACTATTATCCCTTTCCTAGGAAGGCAATTAATGCGGAAGTAAATATTCTTAGGGTTAAGAAAATGATTTTTCTTTTTGTTTAAAATTTCTGCTCCAGACAATGTGTGTAATCTTTGAGAAAGGCAAATTCGTTGTGTAAATCCATCTGATCATATCTACCAATACATTAAATGAGATACTTGTATCTGTGTTAGATTAGTGACACAGACTGTGTCAGAATCACATTCACCCACATGTTACACAGTTCTATTATATGTGTATTAATAAATCATGTCTATTCATTATATTACATTGATATTAAATGGGAAGTAAACACAATCAGGGTTAATTACTAAGGAGATCATTAAAGTGATTTTCAAATTTAAGCCCAAAGTAGACAACCTTGGAGCACAGCTACTTTAGACATACATTTGAAATTACCGCCAATTCTCATTTAGTAAATAACCCTGAATGTATTGTCTGATTAGACTTGCGCAAGAAGCTTTATTACATGGGAGATATAATCAAAGTATTAATACGTCATATTGTCCCAATTTATTAAACATGACTCTAGCTCTATATGGACAGGACACACAGCTGTATTAAAGGGGAGTAAATGCAATATATGAATTATCACATGCACACAAAATATTAGACTGAACACAAATAGTTATATTATATGGGAGATTTCAATTGAGAATTTAAACTTAATACCAGATAATTTTCCATCCTGCCATAATGTCAAGGAGTTGAAAAAAGCATACCACCATCACCACCACCAATACCACAGAATACACAATATCACCTATTGTATACCACCACCCAAAATGCATACCGCAACACAGATTGCACACTACCACACAGTATGCATACCACAACACAGAATACATACCACAGTGCAGAAAGATACCGCCAAATAGAATGCATACCACCATGCAAAATGTTTATCACCACACCGCATAGCATCATATGAAATACATACCACCATACAGTATGTATATCACCATGCAGAACACTTACCACCACCCATAATGCATACAGCCATATTGAAATTAAATACATACCGCCATATAGTATGAATACCCCCATACAGAACACTTACCACCACCCATAATGCATACAACCATATTGAAAGCATAGCATCAGATTAAATACATACCGCCATACAGTATGTATATCACCATGCAGAACACTTACCACCACCCATAATGCATACAGCCATATTGAAATTAAATACATACCGCCATACAGTATGAATACCCCCATACAGAACACTTACCACCACCCATAATGCATACAGCCATACTGAAATTAAATACATACCACCATACAGTATGAATACCCCCATACAGAACACTTACCAAGCACAATTACATAGTTACATAGGCTCAAAAGAGACACTTTCACCAAGTTCAGCCTTTCTCATATTTGTTTTTTGCTGTTGATCCAGGCAAAAAATCCAGTTTGAAGCACTTCCAAATTTGCAACAAACTAGGAAAAAAACCTCTTCTTCACCCCAGAATGGCAGTCAGATATCTCCTTGGATCAAGAAGCTGTTACCCCACATGTTAAAAATTATACCCCTCTAGCATGTAAGCTCATTGAGCAGGGCGCTCAACCCCTCTGTTCCTGTGCGTCTACTTGTCTGGTAACAAATACGTGTCTGTTAGTCCACCCATTGTACAGCACTACGGAATGTGTTGGCGCTTTACAAATAATAAAATAATAATACAAATAATAATATCCCTGAATATTAGGTTGTTGCAAATATTTATTCAATTGCTGTTTAAATATGTGTACATACTCTGACAAAACCACCTCTTCAGGCTGAGAATTCCACATCCTTATTGTTCTTACTGAAAAAAAAAAAAACATCCCCTTTGCCTTAGACTAAATCTTCTTTCATATATTGCCATACAGAATGCCTTCCAAAACTATTTTTCTATATTCAATGTTCTATCCCTTAGATTAGTAATTCTGATTGGTTTATTTTTTGTGGTCGTCGTGGTTGATATTTTAATTCCAAGAGATGCATACACTTTGTAATATTGCAAGTGGCCCTTAAAGTGTGCCTAGCTGCTACACAGAGGGGGAGCCATCCACGGGTTTGCACTAAGCCAGATTCCTCTTCTGAAAAATAGCAGCATAAATATACTACACATCATGGCTTCCATTGCAATACATAGGGTTATTCAATAAAGTGTGAGTTGTTGAGAATTTGTAATAAACTGTAAGTAAATTTTAGATTTAGTCCAAAATTTCAGCTCAGAAAACTGGTAATTCTGACTTCTTTTACAATATAAATCAGGCTATGAAAATCATAATATTGTAGTAAGCAATTTATATAATTTTGTACATTTTATATTGAGAATTTTAGAAGATTTCTGCTTACTTTTCTACTAATCCAAAGTAATATTTCTACTATTCTTTCATTCTTTTTGGATTTAAATTGGAATAATCTGTTAAATTGGGACCATTCGTTAGAGGGCTCGTTACACAGGATTCGTTCTCTAACCTAACGGTTATTTCTTCTCTCTTTATTTGGTATTTCATCTTACCATCATTTATTAGGTTCCAAGAAATGGCTAGAGATTTGCAGAACACTATTCTGCATGTCTGGATCCAACAAGAAACCACTCCACTCCACCTTTAGTTAACCACACAACAAGCAAAGAAATCACATACGCACAGATTTTCTTTTATTTATGGAGTGTGTGTTACAAATATATAAACTCACTCCTTTATAAATACATGTTTTTCAACATGGTCGGCATCAAAATTCTTAGGGCCCCTTACAAACCCACTGGCTGGGCCCCACTACACTACACACTTCCAAACACACACAGGTTTCCAGATTGAGATTCTCTAACACACTCTCCCAAAAAGATATGCACACTCACAGACATTCACAGACATCATAGACACTCACATATACTCACAGACACTCATATATATTTACAGACACTCACAGACATGCACATATACTCGCAGACAATCACAGACAATCACAGACAACCACAGACAATCACAGACACTCACATACACTCATACACAGATATACATTCTAGACACTCTCATGGAATATCTACATATAAATATATACTTACAGAAACTGCTAGAAACACACCGCAATAACCACTATCAGGCACACACCTAATGCGTACCACACACTGCTTAATGTATACACACAATCACACTGGTAAACACATACACAGTGCTACATACACCATGCTAAACATATACACATGCACTCTGATACACACACTCTGCTACACACACACATATATTGCTAAACACACACCCAGCTAAAGAGACACACATTACAGCACACACCATATACACAATATTTCTACACACACACTACTACACACATTGCTAAAGCTAAACATATATATATACAATTCTGTGTGCACACACACACTGCTGTACACAATGCAAAACATATACAGTATTAAACACACTATTAACACAGTCAAATTTATATTTATTTTATAGTTACCATTTTGCAGCCAGAAGGTGGCTTCTCTGGGGTCTAGTGGGGATCGGGAAGGTATATCGCTGTGGGCTCCTGGCTTATCTTCTAACCTCCAATGTGTCTTCCACATATAAGAGTTGGGAGGAAGTGATTTGAAATCAAACAGGAGAAGAGGGGGCAGTCACTGATGTCCATTAAGTCACTGATGACCTCAATGCGGTCTGTTCGATGCGGGCACCTTAACTGAGTACTGGTTACCACACCCTGATGGCAGCACTGTTTGTCAATCAAAAAAGCATTTCAAACCTCAACATAGTTTATGTAAGAAAGATCCAATACCCCTTTCCAACGATTGTCTTTCTAACATTGAGACAGTTGGCAAGGTTCTTCTCGATAACTGTTCTGGATTTCCCCTATAGATAGAATTTTGAGCAGGACATATGTCGAGACTTTACGCTCTCTTTTACTGTGTTACTAGTAGTCAAAATGTTTGTCGCACATATAAGCTAGTTTAACTGCTAATTTTTTGTGTTTACTACAAAATCTCCTAACTGTTAAGGGCTTTACTTCTTTTACTAGCTAAAGCACACACATAAAGCTGTAGATTTTGGTTATAATTATTTGAGAACTCTGGCCAGTCTTTTCCCGACGTGTGTTAGATGTAGCTTGCTGTTTTCTTTCATAACTTTGCATGGTTTATAATAAGATCAGAGATTCTTCGTGACCCACTGGTGAATTAATTAATGGTTTTGTTACTCCACCCCAATCACCGTTTACCCTAGGGGAATCCTCCAATCTGGACCCGTGGGACAGGTTTAAAGGCTATTGTTCCTAGGAATATAAACCTAAATAGTCTTCTGAGATCTTGTATATATTTTTTCTTTTTTTAAGTGTTTGCTATGTTGTACGGAGTGATGGACTTTTGTGCAGTGATATGAAATATATGAGCACTAAATGATTATATTGAACTGAATTGATTCCCATAGTGTATGACCAATTTATTAATTCACAGTTTTATATTTTCCCTGTAGGTGAAGATCTGGTTCCAGAACAGGCGCATGAAATGGAAAAGAAGCAAAAAAGCAAAAGAGCAGGCCGTACAGGATGCAGAGAAACACCAGAGATCAGGAAAGGGTAACTGTGACGAGAAGTGTCAGGAGGACGCCCAAGAGGAGAAGACTTCTTTCCACCTTCACTCCAGGGGGGAACCACTTAAAAGTGGTAGCCGCCTGCCAAGGGACTACTCTGACAGTGAAGAAGAGGAGGACAGAGAAGACGATGATGAAGAGCAGAGGGGCGGAAAACATTTCTGCCACCATTCATCTGACTGTACATCAGAAGACGATGATAACACTCATAAAAAGCAGAGTAGTCACATGCACTGAGTGTTCAACATGGACCGCATCGCCATTTGCACCTCATTGACCACTGTTAGGGACCTCCATATTGAACTTTATTAGAGGACATCTGATAACCCTATAGTGCAAGAACCCACCCTGTTGGGAACCACTCTCCATGTGATCACAGTCATTAGCAAAAAAAAAAATCAGGATCGATAACTAAATTGTCAACTGTTACATTGACACCACATAGAGAGTGCCATCTTGACCAAGTTGATGAACAACCACTATTCCAAGTACATCCATCACTAGCTTTCCAGTTGTTACCCATCCCATACATGCATCAAGAAGATATGTATCTACAAAACTAGTGTACTGTCCTTATGGTTGTATAACTAGAGGAGGAATTTTCCTATAGCAGATTAAGAACAGAGGGATGTGGGCCTTCTGCATTAGAAAATAGAACGGACACTATTTGGTGGGAATACTCTATAAATGTTTACTTCGTGACCGATAAACCTGCTAGAGATGTTTAAGCTGTGTACTGGCTTTATTTTTGTAAATTGTATTTATAAAAAGATACGGATATCTCTACATATGCATGCTAAATTATTACTATTTAGCTCCTGCCATCACTATGGTGGTGTGTAAAATAAATTGGTTTTATACTAGAATTTCCCAAGCTGTTTTCTTTCACTGACATTTCTTATCCAGTCATTCATCTATCCCTCCATCCATCCATCTCTACTGATCGGCTTATCAATATCCTAAACTAAGAATAATATATTTTCTTTTTTGACGAAAGAGAGCATCAGTGTGTAGAAATGTCTCCTCTGGTGGCCATAACAGTAGATCATACTAGTCAGCAGACTTACTAATACTCACCTTAAAGGATATTTTGACCCCTTTTCCCTAAACAATATGTATGTATGAAGGAACGTTCACTTTACACGGCAGAGCAATGCAAAATTTAATTTAGTCTCATTTAGCATCTATTTGCTCCAGCTCTGGCTTTCACCCTACACATGGTTCCATTTTGTTTCTTTCCATCTTTGCAGAAAGACTATGGATAATGTCCTAATTTTCACACGACCGCAACCTTTGTAGGTCAAACTTCATGGCTGCATATAAGCACCATGGCAGGGAGCAAAGACGGAAATCTCACAGCAGGGATTCATTGGCTATCGATGCAATATGTTTAAAAAACAAAAACACATTTTGAAGTAAAAGGGTTAGTCACATGATCCAGTTCTGTTTATCTTCAGTTAAATCATGATTTTTACATGCTTTGTACAGAAGGGGAAATTATATTTTACTGATAAGGTTTATTCCAAATCATTTTATGTTTGAAAATGGATTAACCTTGTGGTAGCCAGAGAAAGGGAATTTATTTAAAGGGTTATTCACAAAAGTGAAATTTGCCAGGAATTCAAAGTGAGCTCAAAGTGAATTTGACATTTGAGGTCAAAGTAGTGCAAACTGGAAGTATAGGTAGCTGACATGGAGAATTTCTCCAGTGTTGCTATTTTGGCCCTATATTTGAAATTCACTTTGAATTTCTTTGAGTTAAGCAATAGTTCTTACTTTAGAAAAATCTCTGATACTAAATAATTTAAAACATTGCTCATCTTTCTAAAATAATTATTACTCATCCTTTATTTTACCTTTCTTAGTTTCAAAATCAGACCATGTAAGCTTGCCTGTCTCATAGAAACATGGACTAAGGCCTATAAAATTGTGAGAGTCGAAATGATTTGCGTAATATCATCACCATGCCCATAGATATTATGTTCCTGAATAGGACCTGAAAGGGTTAATCTATCAGGACCCAAATGTGATTAATTGCTGATAGGTCCCGCTGATACCGCCTCATTCTTGGGAATGGGGGGCAGTAGGGATAGGGGTACCTGCCTTCAAACAGCTGTCGACTGTTAATCCTATCAATCCCAGGTTTCAACTGAGAATATAAATAAAAGCAAAATCCTGATGCAGATAGAAACATTTTTTTATTTTTTTTTAAATAACTAAAAAAAAAAAAGTTTAAATACATCTTGATAGACTGATAGCTGTATCAGAAATGGCCATCAACGTAATTAGCTTTTTGCTGAATTATAATCTTTAATTTCACTTAAACTGAAGATCGTAGGAAACAATCAGAAAATAAGATAATTTCAGGGGTTATCACTAAACTTCTTACTGTAGCAAATTGAAATAAGAATTGTAAAAGTTAGGTAAACAATTCTGATTTGGAGACTTTATCCAGTTCAGCTATGGCTCATTTATCCTCTATTTTGCCAGAGTTTAGTGAATTCTCGTGCCACTGTTAAAATGCATTTCACAAGATGCTTTTCATAGCTCATTGACTCTGGGGCAAGAAATTTACATGTAATATTGCCACATTTATTCACATTTCTTTCTTAAAAATCATAATAAAACGTAATTATTTGACATCAAAATAAAATTTCCTAAAAAAGCACATTTCATTTAATGATTAAAAGGGCACCGCTACGAATTCCACGCCTCTGGATTATTCATTAAACGCCAGGAATGCTAAACAGAGAGCAGAGCTTAGGAAAGTCACTTTGCAAGCCCTGTTGTCATTATCAGTGTAATTAATAACCTGCGCTGAGTTACAAAAGGTCTCAGCCAAATTACAGACAATTTGCATGCTTAATCATTTCGAGTTAATATCGGTGAAAGATTCCCAAGCTTTAAAGAGGTAAGAGCCTTTAAATATATACAATCAGGTCATTTTATGTAGGGACGTCTCAGGCAGAGTACAGTCAATGTAAATTAATTTCACCCACTTGAAATGCAGGTAAGAATGCAACGTAATGGCTACTATTCTGTTCAAATTGTTACCCTAGAAATCTTACCCTCTACTAACACCACATGGGGGTTAAAGATTACTCCAACCACCATGACCACTTCAGTGATTTAAAGTGGTCATGGTGGTAGAAGTATGTATGTGCAGCGTTTCTGCTTGAAAATCAGCAAATAGTGAGTTATTGGGGCGTGGAAGACCAGCGCCAGATGCTTCGCCCAGAGCTGGATTCAAGGTGAGTTAAATGCTTTTATCTGCAGGTTTTACTGCAAGCAGAGGGCAGTAGAACCTTGTACATAGTGACCAACAGGGCATTTAAAAAAAAAAAAAAAAAGATAATTCACAGATTTTGTAAAATTTAAATTGGACAGTCAGTCATTCTGAGTATACTCCCAAAATACCCTCCTCACTATGATGGTAATATAGAACAAAATACATCCTGGTTACTTAAAACATCAGTATAACGTGAAAAAAATATTTTTGTTTTAGTAACAAAAGTTGCTTTTAAATGGGAATTAAAAATGGAAAATAGATGTTTGCAGATAATTCCAAGCTGGCCATTTTGACATTAAATTTCAAACTATCTTTATTGCTTCCAACTCAATGTTTAACAAATGTTTATCCTTGTCCTTTTCAAACACAAAGCATACAGAACCCTACCTCTGTTACACATAGCTTCTAGAGATCTATAATGATATCGCAGCAATTAACCAAGAAACAGGATTTTTACTCACCAGATATTTGAGCAGGCTGGGAGAGAAATCATGGCTGTCTTGGTATTACCTTCCAAGCCACCATGGCTGCTATATCTTCAAGAAAGCATATCAATTAAACTGTTAGCAGGTTTTATCTCCCACCCCCCATGACTCCTCTCCTGCAACTGTCAAAAATTACCTGCTAAGCCCTCAGTGAATACTTTTCTAACAACCTACTTCGTACCCCTACTTTTACCCTTTGTGTCACTATACCTAACTCTCTCTAGCATGTAAGCTCATTGAGCAGGGCCCTTCACCTCTCTGTTCCTGTACGTCCAGTTGTCTGGTTACAATTACATGTCTGTTAGTCCACCCAATGAACAGCGCTACGGAATCTGATGGCGCTATATAAATAATAAAATAATAATAATATCTCTCAACACCTAAGTTGTTAGTGGTTTGGAATGGGGAAAATCTAGACCACAACATCCGGAATGGGTATAAGAAAAGCAATGTGTGGCTAGCTGAAAAGACTCACAGCTTAAAGGAACACTACAGGCACCCAGACCACTACATTGAGATGTCATGGTCAGAGTGAAGTTGTCTTTTAGTTTTAACCCTGCAGTGTAAAACCAAGCCATTTAGTAGATACAGAGATGCTTACATTGCAAGGTTAGATATGCCTATAGTGGCCATCTTCTTGAGAGTCCTCTGTGTGAGCCAAATCAGTCTTGGTTCTTACAGCTAACCTCCAAGTGGAGTGCAACATTGCTTGGCATTCGGTTTTATTCCCCAATGCTCCTTGTGAGGATTGGACTGTTAGAAGCACTGACTCGGACTTGGCACTGGATTGATTAATAATGCATTTTTTAGATATCTAAAAACATCTTACAAAAGCTGCAGATCTCTCGCTTTCTGTGGCTGTCCAATCACAGACTTCCCAATGCAGCTCAATGGGACGTCTTTGCAAGGCAGGTGCTCTGAGCAATTGCTGCCTCTTGGAAGTAACAGGACCGGTTGTACGAATGACAGTGAGGGGGGTGTAACAAGGTTAATTTATAAAAGTGCCGATATCTATTAAAATCTGCACTTTATAAAAAATAAATAAAAATAAAAAGAGGGCATACTCTTCACACCAAGCTAAAGTGCTTCAGGGGTGTACAGTTTTCCTTTAAGACTCTTTAAAGTAAAATACAGCAGTCATTGTGTTGGCTTTTGATACCATTCTCAGCACCTTCAGCCAGCCTGACTGATGGAGACTCCATGACAAGTGTAGGATTCCCGAGCCTGGCAGTCATCTGTAATCTTTTTAGAACAAAGCTGAGACAAATAGTCCACTGATTGTCCACATGTGGTTGATGTTTACAGAAAGTGGAATGTTTTCTGGTTCCCAGACCTTGCCTGGCCAGGTCCTGTGAAAATTCATTAATGGACCTGTTGGATCCATGTGAATGTGCAGACAAGTAAATATCAGGCCAGAGTCAAACCACAGAAATATTTCACACCAGGGCTGTAATGGCCGTCAGCTCATAAAATCTACTACTTAACTCCTAATCAGTCACAGAGCCTCCCAAGGCCTCGCAACACATTAAGGAAATCCCTGGCTAATCAATGACACGCATTGACACCAACAACAGCCACACATTATGGGAGTTTGTTAAATTAATTACACCTGAATATAATACAGACATATTGTCCACTAATTTCTGTACTTTGCCCTGCAAGTGTCACACACAGATTTCAGGATGTTGTTCAGTACATATCGTCTGCAGATGAACACAAGGGTTAGCCATAATTAGGATTAGTGCTTTATAATGAATAAGGTAATGATATAAAATAAGGTTTGTAAAAACAAAACAAACAAACAATGAAATAAGCTGTGATATATCGCTGTAGCTTAGAAATTAAATTAAAAAATTATAGTTATGCGATTTATAATAATTAATAAAGTTATATTCTAATAAATATTTTTGTATCTTGTAGACCAATGATAGACAGACAGAAAGACACAATGTTATATAGAGCTATA